TGGTGGATGTTTTAGTAAAGGTTTTACGGCGCTCGCAACTGCATAAGACCAAGGTCGTATGAGCGCCAAGTGGTGGATGTTTTAGTAAAGGTTTTACGGCGCTCGCAACTGCATAAGACCAAGGTCGTATGAGCGCCAAGTGGTGGATGTTTTAGTAAAGGTTTTACGGCGCTCGCAACTGCATAAGGCTAAGGTCATGTATGAGCGCCAAGGGGTGGATGTTTTAGTAAGTTTTTACGGCGCTCGCAACTGCATTAGGCCAAGGTCATATGAGCACCAAGGGGTTGATGTCAACAGAGAAACCCTTACAAACAGACCAAGAGCTCCTATCGCATAAAAAATCTATTGTTGGCGCGTTAACCGAACGAAAGGGGTGGGTGGTTGGCGAGTGCTCTGGTGTGGTTTGCTCCTTCTGTCCTATCAAACTTCTATCGTCCTTATCTCCCCCTTCTTCTTTTTGTGTTTGTTACTCTCTTGTAACTCCTCTAAACTTCTGGCGTTCATATGACCTTATTGTGTTGCAAGTGCCGTAAAACACTTACTAAAACTAGAACTAAACGACAGCCAAAACGAGATTAGTGACCGTTATATGGTACAGTTGTCATTTGTGCTTCTCTTAAACTCAACTGAGTGGGTGGTTGGCGGGTGCTCTGGTGTGGTTTGCTTCTTCTTTCCTATCAAACATCTACCGTCCTTATCTCCCCTCCTTCTTTTTTATGTTTGTTACTCTCTTGTAATACCTCTACTAATCTTCTGGCGCTCATATGATCTTAATCAGTTGCGAGCGCCGTAAAACCTCTACTAAAGCTAAAACTTCTAATCTTCGGTACTTATATGACCTTATTGTGTTGCAAGTGCCGTAAAACACTTACTAAAACTATAACTAAACAACAGCCAAAACAAGTTCAGTGACCGCTATATGGTACAGTTGTCATGTGTGCTTCTCTTAAACTCAACTGACTGAACCTAATATTCGTAGTTGTAGATATAGTTTTGAACGCAATTGGCCGTTTTGAGGTCAAGGACTCCAGTTTTATCACACTAAAAAATCTATTGTTGGCGCCGGTAACCAAACAGGCGGGCGATCCTAGGCTACTTCCTCGAGCCAGTTCTTGTGTACAGTGTTGAACAAACGTCTG